GATCATGAGTGTTAAAATGATAAAAATACTACATTGAAAGAAATTAAAAGCTCAACATTGATTTGGTAGCTTTGGTGTTTCTTTCTCTCTGAATGCTGAAAAAAATAATCATAGTGTTAGTGTTCTCTCTAAAGGATTCTGTAAAATTCTGAAATTCATTTGTCCAAGGCTGTAAGTCACAGAATTATTCCCTAACAGAACTTAAGGAGATTTTGGATAAGCCTATAATGTGTATATTTACAATAAGCAATCAAGTAGCAAAAATGACATGAAATCTTTGAGTTTTCCACTGTTCACTCTGCAAGTCAAAAGACACATGAATATGCCAAGCTGGAACAACCAAATTCCCTTAGCACTGGGGCATTGGATCAGATGACCTCCAGAGGGTCCCCCCAGCCTCAATCCTTCTGAGATTCTGTGACTGCTATGGCACACCATCTCTTTCTGTCCAGATAAATGGGCACATAAATAATAACTCCTCAGGTGATTTAAATACCTTGAATCGCTAACAGATTTCAAAGGTCAAAAATTTGGGTTGCCCTGTACTTCCTGTATTAGGCTATGTAGTAGGATGCACATATATGGTATGCATGTACATTCACTTATGAAAAATCTGTACAATATATGCTTATACATACATATACTCAGCAAACTTGGTGAAGAACAAGCTAATTTTAAGGATTTCCCTAGAAATTTTATACACTCATATTAGTTTGAAAGCAAATTAACTTCCCACAAGCAGAGGACAATGATCCCTCCACCCTTACTTGAAATAGAATTCCTCAATTTCTTGCTGGCCTTTGTTTGTTTTTTCCCTGCTAGAAACAGCAGCTCTAGGGAGGCATTACTGAAAAGCAGTGCTTCTTTCATGATGCATATAAACCCCATATCTTTTGCAAACAAATTATGTTGAATGCTACAGAGAGAAAATGCATCTGCTATCAATTTGAAATTTGCTATGTAATTTACGTCCTTCTGTTGGATTTTTCTGTTTTGTTCTACAGCTCTGTTAGTCAGAGCATACAGAAATTAGTGTCTTAATGGACAATTTGACCTAGGAGTTCTGTTCAAGAGATATAAAAAAAAAATCCTGACAATCCAGACATTTTGTTCTGACAATATTACCAACTTCTGTTAAAGCATTAGTACACAGCTGAATTGCATGGCATATGTAGTCAAGTTGGTAAGGCTTAAATTAGCAAGCCATTATGTAAGCAAATTTTAAGCATAATTTAAAGGAACTAAATTACAAACTCCCTGAAAAAGCCACCTGACATACAATTAAGCAAATGTTTCCAAGTTGTCTTTCTTTCCAAGTATAAATCACTGACATTATACTAAAATGAAAACAATCTCAGTGAAAGCCAGATCAGAAATAGGACTCTCTTCTGCACTGATTACCAGCATTGTTTTCTGCAACCACATACTACTAAGTTCAGTGACATAAATTCTCATATATTTCTAATGTATTTTACATCCGGATTTCCCACCAGTTGTCCTTTACATATGAAAATAGAAAAAAGAGAAAGCAAACTGCTCTATTCTGCAAAGCACAGGAAAATTGTAACAACATTTACTTTTAACATTTGCTCCTTATTTTTTTCATTTGAAATTTGATAAAATATAGTAATCCTAATGAAACCTCTACAATGGTAGACTGATTGCTATGGATAATTATATAGCTTAATCTGGAACATGGATCTTCCACCTAATTCTGTCAATGTCATACATATTTCACTTAGTTCAATACACCCACAGCACCTCACGAAATATCTGAATTTTGATCCAAAGAAACTACATTTGCTCATTCATTTTTGTACCCTATACTGTATCTCCTCTTCTATAAGGAGAAAGAAACACGGATCAGGTGATCACAAAGGCAATACGTATTTTTGCATTACCTAACCAAATACTGTGAAAAAGTTTTGCAGGAATGAGGAAAGAAAAAAAGTTGTATTTTCAGTCATTTTTCTGCTTTAAAAGGTTGTGCTACCATGGCAGGGAAGAACAGAGAAAGCAGTGGCAGCCAGGCCATCAGGACGACTGAGGTTGGGCCCTTCCCACCCCTTACCAAACCATGGACAGCTACTAGTTGGACATTTTCCTGACTTTTCCACTGCCCTAAAATACTTCCAAAATATAATCAAAATATTTCACATCACAGGGGAGAATGAATGGAACAGAGGGAAGTAACTTAAACCCACTACCATTTTGGCAATTAAAATCTTGGTGTACGGAACATAATTAAAAAGATTCAAAATGGAAGTGTAGGCCCTCTATAAAGAACTAAAACCACCTAGGATATTCTGCCAAAATAGAAGTGTCAGCTTTCTCTCAAAGAAAAAAAAAACCTACCTGACTTCCTTCTGAAATCTTATCTCACATAAAATTGAATTAAACCCATTAAATGTGGTCTGCCTGCAACTAACTCAGGTCAGAAGTACAAAGAGCTAACCAATACTCAAAAAACATGAAAGAACTTCAGAAACATATTTGAGTATGCATTTTGACATTTTAGAACAAGAATAATTGAAATTCATGTAACTCATCAGTCACTAGAGTATGCCAGTTATTGCCAATTAATTTTGGAAGTGTAATGGATTCATTTCTTGATCAGCCTAGGATGCCTACTAACTCTCACTACAAGGTGTTTTGGGATGTTCTTTATGATTTTAAATTAGGAGAGAACATATTAAGTCCTGCTATATATATTTGAAAAAATCTTTAAGAAATATTTGGCACTTACTTGAAAAGGTCAAGAACAGCTTCAAAGCATTACATTTTAAAAATATTTAGCCACAATCAAGAGCTGCAAGGACCTCTTCGGGACCTTGTACATTGCCCTACAGCCACAAGCAACCACATCACATAAATCCTTTCCTAACCTTATTAAATTTAGCCTTTAAAGTTTTATTGGGCTCGTTTTCTTTCCAATAAGCCACATAAAATAAATTCTCAAGGCTTTAATGCTTGTAAACATCTTTTTTCAAGCCAGGAGTGTTTAGGACCAAGTTGTACATATTTGGTCTCATGTATTCACTGTCCTCTATTCTTATGTTTAAATTTTCTGCATTTCTAGAGATCAATTCCATACTTTCAGGTATCAACTCTAATGGCTTTAGGTCTTGTCCCCTTAATCTCCCCAGCCTCCTCTCACATGAGCAGCTCTCTATTTCCAGGATCATCCTCTGATTGACTTTCTTTGTGTCCGTCACAGTTTGTATTTGTAAAAGATGGGTAATGCGTGGGAAACAACATCCCAGATGAGGGATCATTAATTCTCCAGTGGTACAGGAAACACCTGAATCAAGGTTAACATTTGACTTTTCCTGAGCTGACACTTTGGTAATTCACACTTCAGCATCCTTGCCAAACAATGCACTCTTAACTTGAAGAAACTTGGTGCATGTGTTTTGTATCAATATAATTTATTGTGGTAAAAAATTCATGTGGACACTAAGGGATAAATACATTTTAAAAGTTTTTACTGACACAAAACTTGCCATATGTAATTAGTCAGGAATGTTGAGCCATTGAAAATAATTAAGAAATAATATTTTTCTCAGGTTGCTCTATTTTAATTATACCAATTGTTCTAAAACATGCTATTTTTAGGTATGTATTAATATTTTGAAATTAATTAATTCTATATATTACATTAACTTTTAGAGAGAGGCACTGCTAAAGCAATGGTACTTTAAAGAAGTGATCCCCATGTTTTTCACATATTCAGGACTAGTTATTACCATTAACTTTTCAGCTGTTAAAGAGAAGTAGCTCAGCTTTATCACACCGAACAGAATTTATTTTCACACATTACTATTATGGCATTTTCTTAGCATGTGGAAGACTGGGGTTCAACACCTAAACTAACCTAAACCTTTAGAAAAACCTAAACAAAGACAAGTGCAAATGATAAGGATGTATTTAATTGAATTTAGGACAATCCACACAAGTCAGATTTGTTTTCAGAATATATCTTCAGCGTAGCTCTAATACTAACATATTATAAACCTACTGCAATGCTCAAATGTGATAGAAATAATTTTCTCTGGAAATTTTAACAATACTTAATTTCAGGTTACAGGTGTGCTAGTATTTAAATGGGGGCAAAACACATAACACCATATTGCAAGCATAACTCAACAAAGAACACATCAAAAGCTACACTGAATTGTAAATAATTTACACTTGTTTCAGCTGAGGTACCAGAAAAGCTACCTAATTGCCATACTTAGTACTCCAATTAAAAATCTGTACTACCTTTTGCAGAACTGCCTCAGAAAGGGTGGCAAATGCACGTGCACTGTTCTGGTCAGGTACTGCCACACCTGATGCCATGCACAGGGTGCAGAGATGAACAGAGAACTGCCCTCACCTATTTGAGACAAGGCACAGGCAATACTGGGGAATACACCTGTGCTTGATCCTAAAAGTTCTGCAGATTTTTGAAATTATAACTATGCATTCAAAAAGGATTCACTCCACCTTGCTCACAATACTTATGGTCCAGTTTGTTTGCCTATATGTATTATTCAAAATGTCAATCAAAAAGCTGATTTGACAAGAATTCTCTGAGTTTCTGCTGCAGCTAGAAGTGAAACACAGCAAACCATGTAAAACAGTGTAAATTAGATTTCCTGAAGCTGATGGAAGGACCTTTCATGCAAAAAGTCAAAACTGTTAACTAAAGATGTATTTATGAAATAAAATTTTATTACACTTTATTGGCTCCTCTACTTTTTAACCTATAAGTAATTCTCAGTTCTTAATTTCTTTTGTTGTCATAACTTGGACAACAGTCTTGGGTTTCCTTGCTGAGCTGTCTTTAAGGCCTATGTTCAGCTAAGGGACGTGCAGGGCCTGGGTGTCAGGATTCCTGTTTTTCCCCCCTCCCCTGTGGGTGATTATGAAATTTCAGTTCAGTTTTTCACATTAATATGTATCCCAGTTAACTAACAACATTATAACAATAAATTATAAAAAGCATGGATTCTAACCACTTTGTCCTCCTTTGGGAAAGCATCCAAGGAAGCAGAATAAAAAGAGAAAAGAAAAAAAGAAGAGATAAAGAATAAAATAGGCAAGTATTATTAGACAGATTTCAAAGAAATGCAATTCCAATAACTCTCTACGAAGAGACAAAACCACAAAATTAAGAAAAAAAGAGCTTTAAATAAAAAGATGACATTACTGCATATGTTGAAAACATGTTTTCGCACCCCGACCCACAGAAGCATAAACAATATAAGAAACAAAATGCAAGTTACAAATGAAATGACACTCTTCCATTTCTGTGGCTTGAAATAGGGGGTGAAAAATAGTTAAATTATATTTTCTTTTTTTTTTTTCTGAATAAAGTGAAGCTGTATCACATGCACTCATTAATAGAATAATGTGATACATCAAAGTAAACCATATTTTCAGAGACTTGCTCTGATGACACCATCTACAGGTGATACAATGCAATGCATCTATTTTTACTAATACATGCACATTTTCATTCAGTTCACCTACGTAGTTCTCATCAGCATATGAATTTAATTTAATTGAGACTTACAGGTACATCGAGGCTATGGAAAATCTCTAAAATAACCATGAAATGCATCTTTTTGAGGAGTCATTTTTGCTTTACATCAAATTTCAGAAGGCCTATTCAGCTGATGTCCATCTTAAAGAAAGTGAAAAGGCCACAAACTCGTTCCCTTGTGAACATGATTATCTGCTATACAATCTGTGTTCACTTTTAGGTGAATTTGTGCTGATACCAAGAGCACCTATAAATTTACCCTACAAAAGCCTGGCATCTTAAAGCCACACAAGAAAGTTGCCTCATCTCATGACAGAAAATAAAACTGTTCATGTAATAAAAAGAGATGTGTAAAATTTATAACATTTTATTTTAAATTATTTATAAAATCATTTTGTATCAATTATATAGATATTATATAAAATTATACATATAGATAACATAAATTATATAAAATATTTTAAAACATTTTAAAATTCATAAAGTTTTGTAACACACCATAGTTCTTGATGACCAGCCAAAAATAATCGCTGGATAACAGTATTCCAAATTTAGATCCTACTGCTCCTGTATGAGAGAGTATTCAGAGGCTTGGAAGGGACTGACTGACCAGAGGGTACTCTTGGATAATGTTTGGTTTTGTGGAAAGCTGCTGCAGCTAACTCATGCAGATCAGAGGGAGAACCATTCATTTCACTTACCTGAAAGTAGGATGCTTAATCCAGACTAATCTGAAGTTTTATTCTTTAAATAAATTTTAAATAAATTGGCATAACACTTTTCCTGTGCCAGGAAAAGTGGTTGTTTTTTGGTTTTTTTAAACCAAAAAAATTGACTGACTTCATGTAAAAGCAATCTATAAATGTTTATGACAAGCTCTATGAAAATAAAAATGCAATATTAAATAAGGCCCCAATAAGAATTTAATAATGTGGAGTTGTACCTGAGCAAAAGGGTTTCTTCTTTTATTCTATGAAAAACAAGTACATTTTCTACAAGCTTTCACTCCACAGAACTGGACACTATTATTCTTTTGCTTTAATTAACTCTGTGACTCCCAAGTACCTTGGCAGTCATTAGATACATTTGTTTTACTTGTATGATTTTACACTGATTTACATGTATGATACACACATCATAATGAAGCAATGAATGAAACACTTAAGTAAAATGAAGCATGAAATGCCAAACTTAACGTGAACAATCTGCAGCATGGCAATGTCAGGAGGCTTTTCCTTAAGAGCATACATCAGAAGACTTACATTGTTTGATCGCAGAGAGACACGACCTCCACATCGAGCACAGAACTTGGTCCGGCAATAAGAGCACAAATGGCCACAACCATCTGCAAACTTTGTTTTATGACAGATTCCACATGTTGGAGCATCATCCTTGTGCTCTCCCTGGTAACGGCGGGCTTCTTCCCCTATCTTTCTTACTTGCTCTTTATAGCTTTCAAATTGTTGATGCAACCTCCTGCATAGATGAGAAAAAAGTTTATATAGCACGAATAGGAGGAAAGATTACTACCCTGTATTTCTTTCAGTTTGCAACTCCACCTAATATTCTGGGCCTGTTCACAATACTACGTGTACCTCATATCAAATACACACTCCACATGGAAGACTGTATAGGGCAATCTAAAGGAAAAAAAAAATAGACATCTTTATTCTTGAAGGCTTACTTCAAAGATTACAAACAAATCATTTCACTTGACCAGAAATTGGTCCAAATGCATATACTGAACAATCCCTCATTATAGATATTCCAGCTTAGCTGTAGGAGTATATAGAAGCATTAGCAGGTGCAGAGGTTCCTAGGATGAAGACTGGTGATGAAAGAAGCAGCACTTCTCCCCAGCTGCCCCAAACAACAAACACCCTGACCCTATGCCCACCATCTGGAGAAGCATGCTGCTACACAACAGACTCACCTCCTAAACACACCTCAAAAAGACCTGAGCCAGCCTAAGGAGGAGATTCCAGAAGGGCAAAACTTGGTCTTTGCTCCGTGCTATGTAGAACCCAAGCTTTTCCAGATGTTGCTGCAAATCTACATCTCCATGGATAATGTTTAAAAATCATGAGCAATTACACAGATTATGAATAGAAAGAGGCAATCTTGAGTTTAATAAATGGAAACAGTAGGTGTGTTGTCTATAGAGGTCTTGGTGATATCCTTTATCTCTGCTCTGAGCTACCTCTACCTGTTTCCTTAATTAGCACTGACTCACACCAATTAACCAGTGTATTTTTAGTGACACAATGCCATGTTTCTGTGGGCTTGTGTGTGTGTGTGTGTGTGTGTGTGTGTGTATGGAGAACTTGTCTGGAGTTTTAAGATGTAAATGATCTGTGTTCTTTGTATGAAACACTTTTTTGGTGATGTGGATATTTTTACTTTAATGTGATATTCAAGCCTAAAAAATGATAATTCAACTTAACTCACAGGAATTGTGGTAAAACACACATAATTCAGTTAGACAGGAATATTAATTGCTTGTAAATTGTATTTCAACCAGCTCTCACACTAAAACCAGTAACATCACATGGGTGCATTTTAGTGAGAATGCATCAACAACAAAAGGTAAGCAACTGAATAATCTATTCTCCCTAACTACAAACATGATACATTATACTTATTGTTTTATGCAATTCAAAAGCTTGGCAGGAGCAGCAAAGAGTTCGTTTTATTTTTTACTAACCTGCTTAAAAACCTTTGCAGTATTAAGATGAGAAAAGTAGGTCAAAAATTAGGCAAAATACTGGAGAAACTTAATACTTTTCACCATATAACTGGATTACACATATGAATTAACTTATCTTACATAGCTTCTCACTTATAATGCATAAAAACAACTGAAGACATTCAGGAATTTTTATAATAACCAGCTTAAAGAATGAAATTAAATAATGGTAGGTAAATTTCTTATTACATCAAATATTCTATTAAAAAATGAAACCATGGAAACTAAATTCAGTTCTCCTCCACTAAAGTAAAACCAAAAGCCCTGGCTGTTCACTAATGTGGAAAGGGAAGATAACAGCAAGCACTGCCCCTCTTCCTGTTCTTTTCCAATTAGACCATCTACATTTGAATTTTTTTTATCTCAAAGCTTAGGAAGAGTACTAACACAGTTATGTTTTTGTCCTTCTCTGTGTACCAAGGGATAGATGAACATGCTACAAACTGGGCAAAACTTAAGTGAGATGAAATTAAAGTTCTTTATAAATAAGTATCACTTGTTTATAGACTTGTTAATTTCTGAATCCATGTAAAACATGTTTTACTATGAGGGGTTTGAAACCTTTATCTTGCCTATCATACACAGCACTACTGAGGAAACGCTGGCATTTCATCTACAGCGAGAACGGAACTGGAGAAAACGACTGCACATTTCACAGAGCAGAAAGAATCTCACCCAGCTCACAGCAGGTGTGGTTCAATTGGCTCTTTTTTTAACCACCTTTCCTACCTTTTTGAGGAAAAAGCTGGATCTCTGTATCTCTGGCTCTTCTATAATGGTGGCAGAAAATCCCTCTCAATAGTTTTGCCGTATGTAGAAGTACTTAAAGTATTAAGCAAGAACTAAAATACAGTTGGTAGGTTTTGACTTGTTCCTTAACTTCAAGGCTATTGAGCATATTTTCATCAGATGAAAGGAAAATTTAAAAATATTAAATATTCCTTAATGTAGACAAGCACCTAAAGGTTAAACTAAAGACCTAATAACAGCATATGATATAATGGCTTGGCAGACCCTGGAGGCAGACACCAATTCAATCCCCTCTAACAGAAAGAGCAACCAGATCACTGTGTAAGAGGGATATATGCATACACCCATATGATTTTTCATCATGCATCCAAACATTTATCTGGTTCTGCTACTGAAGTGAAGGACACTTGCAGGATTAGCTTACTCTGAGACATTGCTGCAGCACTTCACTTGGGCAGACCTCCCAGCACTCTGAACAGAAGAGCGGACGTGTCTGGGGAGGGCGCTGCTATTTCACACTCACAGGCATGGCACATAGGGGCGATCAAAAAAGATCCCACCATGGGAGAGTCTTTGAGCACATCACATCTCCTGTGAGTAAACCACACTCTTCTGTTGCTAAAATACTGGAAGAGACTGAGCAGCTTGGAGAGGGACATCAGCCTCGGGACTTTGCTGCAGCTGTAGAGGGGGTCAGCATCACCACCCACAGTGCACAAAAACCAACACACACTTCGCTGTCTACAGGGAAAGACTTAACCTACTCATTTTTACAATATACACAGAACTCAAGATATGTTTAGGTTGCTGATGTTTTTTTCTCCAAGAAAACATGATGGCTTCCTCCTCCCTTTGTTTTTTCAAAGGTATTTCACAAAAACCCCTGCTTCAGCTTTGCTATATATGTACCATATTTTCTTTTGAACATTCATTATTTTAATTTGACAGTAAGACTTTTAATTTTTACAGTGTAAACTAGTAAAAAATTACTGATAGGCAATTCTTCAAGGCTTTACTCACATTTTCATATACTTATCAAAAAACTGTAAGCCTTGGAGAACACTTGTGATAAATACCTTACATAATTTAAACTTTTCAAACAGCTCACTTATATATAATTAGGAGGACAAACAATGAACATTGAGGCCATTTATAACATTGACTGGTCAAAAAGTGTTACATAACACAGAGAAATTATCATTTATGTTGTTGAATTCTTTGGACCTGGACCAAGACATATATTTATTTTATTATTATTTTATTATTTAAATTACAATTGAAGGCTGTAATTTTTTAACAGACTATATTATTGCTTATTTTGCTGTTTTAAATTCATTGATTAAATTATATTTTGCTGTTTTAAATACCTACCTAAATTATTTGCATATATATGCTGAAGAGTAGAAAGCTTCAAAATAGTGCATTTGCATATACATGCTCTGTCTGCACAGGTTTTACAAAAAAATTATTAAGATTTGTGTCTCTTTCATGCAATTACATTTTAAATGACTTTAAATATAGAATGAAATTATATTTTGTACTTCCTTAGAAATCCAGTAGGTGGCAATGCACATCGTACTTTCACTCTCCCAGTTCAACTCAAACGGTTGTCTCGAAATTGAACACCTGATGTAATGTTATAAAAATATTATGCCCTGTCATGAGTTCATGTTAGTAGAAAAAGTGCCGCCTTCTAAGTGACACAGCCTTAAGTAACTATCCACCAGCAGCTACCGCATGTCTGAAAAAAAGCTTAGTAAAATGCAGCATTTTGTCCTCTTCACCCACACCACACAAACACATCATCACACAGAGCTTAGACAAGTTTTTCCATAAGATAAGCAGGCGTTTTACCAAGTTCTGTTCTTGGCATTCTTTTTTTACGATAAATAAATAATTTAAAATGCAAACAGCAATACTGCGTATGCCCACGAAGGCAACAGCTAGAGCTAAAAACCTGTTGGTGATCCTTAAGCATCTACATTGAAGCTGTGACCTGAAAAACGTTGTTCAGCTCCTCTGTAAAGCTGGAATTACCTCAGTTGCACCAGATGCCTTGCTGGTCTGCCAGCACTGCAGCACCCATCTCATGGAGGTGCTTCCAGAGGCAGCTTTGGCCTCAGCCCCAGCAGCATCTCAGCTGGGAAATGTTGTCAACTTGTCCCGGCTTTTGGGAATATAGACTATAAACAACAAAGTCAGGACAGGCCATTTTAGCAATTTTACACATTTGCTGTGTATACTTTTGTATGAATAAAGAGAAATGAGGGGTTTATGGGGAATCTAGCATGTGTTAGCAAGAAAAACAGCTGAAGTTGAGTGAAGAAGTCTAGACATATTTTCTGGTTACTTCATTAACCATCCCATGACATATAAATCCTTTATTAAAATCTATACCCTCTGTACAGGTAGGACAAGTTAAGGGAGAATAGTAACAACATATCTAATTCTTCAAACTTCCAAGTTCTTGATGTAGCAATGTTACTGTGTAAGTCTATTTGAAGACCAGGATATTTTTAAATGTTTGGGGGTGTGCTGCTTTTTTAGCATGGGCAATACTTGGTTTGGTAATTTTGTAAAGATGAAATAACTGCAGGATGTACTTGTATTGCAAAATATTGGACTTCTGTGATTTTGGATGTTAATATTTCTGTATTAATGCTATTATTGTATTTTTTATTCAGGGTGAACTGCTGTATTAAGAACCAAAGGCAAGCAAGGCATGGTTTCTGTAAGGTGCGAAACAGGTAGCAATATGATTAATCAACTGATCTTTAGAGGTAAAAAAGGGCCATGTTTCTGTAAAAGAAATACAAGCATTAATCAAAGGGCTTCCAATGGTAGAGTTAGCGGCTTCCATATCCATATTTTCTCCTGCACATACTGACTGCTTCTGGTCCCTTTGCTGGTTCCTACTGTCCAACTTGTCACTTTTCTGTGACTTTACTTACCAACCATTTTACCTTGCCCTAATCACATT